AAACAAGACTTTCCTTTGGGGAAGAAGGGTTTTAGTCGCAGAGGCTTGGATTTATTTAGCCTTTTAGGTATTGGTTCAATGCCACCTCAGATTTTCTTTTTAGATTTCTGAGCAAATGTAAATGCATGTTGGAAATCAGATTTTCTGCAATACCTGAATAAGCAGGAGTTAGTTAAGCTTTTAGTTGTTTGCACTGACTTGTAGTGGTGTGTGGACTTGGATGCAAAGCATGAGATTTGCATTTAATAGATTAAATTGTTCTTTGCACGGAGTAGTAGTGCAAGAGAGCACACGTACTGGCACCACAGTGTTTCCTTTCATTGGCGTATCCGTTAAAGGCAGGTAATAGTGTGTTAAACCCAAACAAAGCATTGCTTCCTGCACCTGGAGACTGATGTGACAGTTTTATATGCTCGACTCAAATTTCAGCTGCGTTGGATGTAGATAGATGGAGACGAAATAAAAAGATTAGAGGCTAAAGAGGTACAAAGGGGTGGGGGGGGGGAGACTTATTTTAGGACTAAAAATACGTTTTTGAAAAATCATTGTTAAATTAAGTGAATCTCACGATAACTAGCATGTTTTAATCTTCAGTGCCCTTGTTGGAAAAGGTGAAAGCTATTGTTCATTTTTATGCTCAGTTAGTTTTGTGTGTTCTCGGCTGTTTGAGGAACAGATTTGAGCCTTCTGAGCTGCTCGGTGAGCTGGCTGCAACGCCTGGTGGGAAGTCTTCGGTGAAGGATCGATCCCACAAAAGTCCAGGCGCTCAATCAGAAATAGACATCCATACAGACAGATAACTTCAGCATTTTCTTTCAGAGTTTTTTGGAATATGTTAATTTGCAAACTTGTTTTTGCTGTAAAACAAGCTTTAATTATTTTGACTTGTTCCCAGTATGTGTTTCAAACAACTGTTTTAGGAAATGTTGCTTTGAATAATGAGGCTGATTTATACCTTCAGAAATGCATTAAGCCTCCAACCCACAACTGGTCTATCAGTAATGAGCCATAGCTTTTTTGTAGAAACACAAGTAGGCAGAGACACGAGTGCGTCAGTAGGTGAAAGCCTTCCAGTACGAAATAAGGGATAGTATAAGAAATTAACTCTGTTGCTCATCAAATGTGATCTTCTTTCTTTTTCAAGAGCCAAGGATGAAGCGGCGAGCATCAGACAGAGGAGCTGGGGAAACATCCACTAAGGCAAAAGCTCTTTGTACAGGGATTTCTGGAAATAACGCCAAGAGAGCGGGCCCTTTCATACTAGGTAAGCAGGGAGGGTTTTCTTCTTCAGTTTTCAAGGTAGCTACTGATTGCAAAACTGAAAATAAAAGGCACTGTAAAATGAGGTGAAGCAGATGTGTAATTTAGCGTCTTACCTCAGAGCACAATTTGCTTGATGTAGCAGAGCAGTAGCTCTTGGAGCTTCAGCAGCTAGGCAAGCTGAGGAGATTTGTAATATTAATACAGCACGGCAGGCACGGCTTTTAAGATAAATATGAGCCCTTGCTTTTACCCCTTTTTTTAATTTGTTTTTTAAACTACATTCTTAAACTTTGTTAAAGAGCAAATTAATTCAGGGGACTCTTTGGTTAGAGCTCTGAGGACCCTGCTTGCCTGGAATATGCTGTCAAATCAGCCTGTAGGCACCTTAACAATGGAGTAGTGGTCATTGTAAGTGGTATGTGCCAAGGTAAGACCACTCTGCTACCTTGAGAGTTGCTAGAAGAGTTGTTAGTTCAAACTAGTTATATAAATGTCAAAAACATGGACTTCACAGTGGAAACCAATGGATAATTGATTGGCAGCTGATTGATTTAAACTGAAGAGTGGAGACTGTGTGTTAACTTGAAATTTGGGCCAATCTGTGTACCTGAGCAGTCCCTGCAGAGGTGGCAGTTGGGTTCAGAGGTGTGGTAACAGCAGTTGCCATGGGTGTTGCTAGTAAATGCAAAAGCTGTATGGTTCAGGCATGCAGAAATTTGAATTTCTGAAAAAGGCTGTGCCACGTGTGGCCTTTTGTTAAATGTTTCTCCAGTGAACAAATGAAACATTGTCATAAAAGGTCTCAGAGTTCAATACCATCTTTTTTCTTTAGATAGTAATTTGTGGAAACACATTTAGTCTCCTGGAAAAAAAAAAAGGAACTTAGTTTAAACTGATGTAAACTGTGTGACACTTGCATACTGATGTAACCCCGAATTAGTCATTGCTGCTTAAAGGAAAACAAGTCTGTTTTTGCTTTGTGCTGTTAGGTCCACGTTTAGGTAACTCCCCTGTGCCAAGTATCGTTCAGTGTTTGGCAAGAAAGGATGGGACAGATGACTTTTATCAGCTAAAGGTAAGCAAACTGCAGGGCTTCCACATCTTCAGGGCTCTTTAATGTTAGGTCTTGTGCCAGAGACACTTGCAGCAGTGTGTGGTGTAGGCTGAACAGTGCGCTGTCGGAAACGGCTGCTGGAACTTCCCCTCGGCGGGGCAGTTCTGCCAGGCGTAGATCTGGTGTCGAGATTAGCCCTGCGATGGGGCCTCTGTGGCTGCTGTGCTGCTCTCCTGGAGCCCTCTGATCTGTTCTGCTGTGCCTGAAATGGGGGTGGACCCAGCAGGAAAAATCACCTGGGATATTTGCAGAAAGCCACCTGAGCAGCTTTTCTGTGTTAATCAAGCTCATGCTATGCATTCTGCACAGATGTTACCTCAGACAGGTTTGTGGCAAGTATGCAAACATCAGAGCAATTACATCAGCTGTTAAACATGTGTGAATACCTAAAATGAGAGAGGTTTGGGGCGTTTTGGTTTTTCTGGGAACCGTAAAGGTCTTTTCCCTTTTCCTGAAGATTCTCACCTTAGAAGAAAGGGGTGATAAAGGAATAGAAACCCAGGAGGAACGACAGGGCAAGATGCTGCTGCACACAGAGTATTCTCTCCTCTCCCTGCTCCACAACCAGGAAGGAGTGGTTCATCATCATGGGCTCTTTCAGGTACAGCTGGTCACCATCCAGGTTGGGAGAATGCCAGTAATCGCTATTGGCTTGAACTGCTTTTGTTTAATGTACACTTCGTGCTGACCCTGTTCTTGTGTGTAAAGAATTACCAGCACACTGCTGAGATTAACTGCTGCTGCTTCAACAAGCAAGTTTGTGGCAGGGGCTTTGGAGAGTTAATTGGGATGTAACGGGGTTTGGCAAGTGTGAGAACATTCGAAGACAGGTGTTTGGTAGCTTCCCCTTCAAACAGGACAATAGTCACTTCACTGGCAAATGAATTTGTGCCCATAGAGCACCCTTAAGAACTGAATTTGTGCTTTCCAGTCTCTGTACTGATTTATGATGACTTGTAAGATGGGACAAATTGCCAAGAAACTGTTGAGTGAATTGTGTTGCTGTTAATGCCTTCAGAGCTGTTTATGGATGAGATGGGTTGATAGGAATTACTGGTTTGGATGTTGGTACTGCCTTGCTGGTTAAATTTTGTCAACACTTTTCACATGAGGCCATCTGTACTATATCTTAAATAAGCCAGATGTCCAACTCAGCTGTGTCCTGTTTAATGTTATGGAAGAACTGCTAATTGTGTCTTAAGATTTCTGTTCTCATTAATGTGTTAGATCCCTAGTATTCAGAGTTTGTATGACTGTAGAGATTCTCTAGGCTTTATCTAAAGGTGTCTCTGGGATATAAACAGTATCAGTGCTGACTTAGCCATATAACCATAGACTTTCTCTGGCTTCTTAAGTAGAGAGCATGTATCTTCTTTTTGAGATCCCAACTCAGGGCAAAGATCAAGCACTATGATTGCATTTGCTTATTTTGAGCTCACCAGGTAGTTAGTTATCCTCCAGTGCTCTGTATGTAAGTACATATGTCCAGGTAGCTTCCGTGAACTATTGCTCATTTGTTTGCCTCCCTGTAGGACCGAGCTTGTGAAATTATAGAAGATCTAGAAGCCAACAGAATGGTCAGAAAAATGAAGAAGCGCATTTGTCTTGTGTTAGACTGTCTCTGTGCTCATGATTTCAGTGACAAAACAGCAGATCTGATCAATCTGCAGCATTATGTCATTAAAGAGAAAAGACTCAGTGAGCGGGAGACGGTAGTGATATTTTATGATGTGGTACGAGTGGTAGAAGCGTTACATAAGGTAAGATCTTTGTTATCCTTTTCAGTGCTGGAAGGCTTAGTTTTCCCACGTTAGTATAATAGATGTTGTAAAACTTCCTTGTGCAGGCAGTGGCAAGGTTACAGAGGAGGGATGGTTCAGCTGTTTCCCCATAACAGTGTTCTGCGTAAGACCTCGTGCCCCAAGCCATAAGAGCGTTCCCTTCCTTTCCCTTTTCCTCAAGTTTCCTGATGTTAATGTAGCATTTGTTGACTGTGGAGAGGGGCCAGCTAGAGTAAATGCAGATCAGGTGAATTACAGTGTTACTAACCTCAGAAAGGGGTGGTCGAAGAGAAGAGCGGAGGCTAATCAAATGCAGGAAGCACTTCAAGCTATTTCCTTTTGAAGCAAAATAAATCGCAATGTAAGAATTGATTTCTGAGATCAGAACCTCAAGCTACAAGTTTGAGATCAATGCAGGAGAAATTATTCTAACAAAAATAGATTCTGCCAATGTTTGACTTTTACCCTGTGACAAGGGCCACCCATCCTTCCTTGGCAGAGCGGTGAAGCATATATCTTCTGAGGGAATGCTCATCATAGTGATCTTACTGAGCCTGGACACTTAAGTTTCAGGTCTCTTAATTTCAATCAAGTCTGTCTGTGTGGTCAAAGCAGCAAATCTGCTTGTTCTGTCCTTCTGACCAGAATCGAAAATGAAGTGCACAAAGTGCCAAGGATGCAACTGGACTTGAATCCCTGATCTGGGTTATTTCTGAGAATGCGGATGACATGATTTCAAAAGATACTTAATGCTTTCGTCCAAGTATCGAATCTATACTGCTATAACAAATATGCTTTTGTTCATGTTATACAATTATATATTTTACAGAAAAATATTGTGCACAGAGACTTGAAACTAGGAAACATGGTGCTAAACAAAAGGTAAGTCTGCTGGAGAGCTGCTCTTCTGGCAGTTGTCTTTATCTTTCTTCCCTGAAGCAGGTTTCTGTTAGAAACGCAGCTGAAGGCAGCACTTGTTGAGAGTGCTGTCGTGTGAGAAGGGTGGGGGAAATGGAAGCAGCTGTGCAAAAATGCAAATCCAGTTCAAAGTTTATATGAGTTAATCTCCAAAAAAAGAATTGAGTCCAAACCTAGGTAGTTCAACTCTTCACCAAGCTTAGTGACCTAATATCAGCGCTTCTTTTTGGATTCTAACTTCTGAAAACTAAATTTCATAAAAATTCAGAAACCTGCAAGAGAAATGCTTATTTTTTATGTATATATAAAAAACTGAAATGTGGTAAGTGGTTCTGTTCACATAACTCACTTTCTGTCGTGCTAAAGGAATTCCCAGTGCTGCAGTCTGTACTATAATCACAGCAGTGTTAAATCTTTGACTGTTACGCTGCTGTGTTTTTGCTAGCAGTAAAATATTTACTTATCTAAACAAAAGTTCTTCTGTCTAGTTTGTATTTGTGCTTGAAATAGCTTCCTTGTTCCCATTAGCTGGTTTGATGGAAGCTTCAGTTTATAACGCGCTGATGTCCAATGTGTCTTGGACGCTGTGCAGACCCGGAGCAGAGTGAACGGCATCAGTGGGGCCTGAGTTCAGCTCGAGTGAGAGGCAGCTGGTGGTAGTGTGCCCTTTGCTTGGTGGCTCCTTGGAGTTGTTTTAGTTGTCTTGGGTTACGTAGTGACTTAGTTGGGAAGCTAGTTCCAGTTCAGATGCTCTGCTGTGTCCTTTGGTATTACATTACTGGCTAAATATTTTGCGCTAACTTTAAGAATGAGTGGAATTCATTGTCTTTTCACAGTGTCTGGTCTTCTGTGGAATGAACAAAAAAAACTGGAAGGCTTTAGGTCTGCAGGCTTCCAGAGTCTGCACAAAGCGTGCAGGTTCACCGTGGTCACAGCTTGCTCTCTTCTCCCCCCTCTAATACTGTTTGAAAGCAAGCAGATTTTACCTACTGAGGTTGAACTTCTCGGTGTTCTCACACAGCAGCTGGTGGTTTTCAGGGCCACCCGTAGATTGTGTAAAGTTGTTTCTATAGAGCTACTTTAAAATAAATCTCTTTATTTTCTGCTTGTTTCTTTGATTCTTCTTCTTGCTAGGAAGAGGTAGACAAAGGTTGCTGCTTTAAAGCATCCACCCAGCGCTTCCCTTCTTTTCTGGGCAAAGCGTGCAGTGGAGCATCCCACTGATAGAGCTGCACACAGAGGCCCCCACTAGCAGGAAGGGGGGAGGTATTTGAAGCTTTGTGAACACACTTGCCAAAGTAATGCTTTGTATTACATGCTATGTTTTTGCTTTTTACTAGCAAGCCTACTTTGGAGAGGAAAAACTGTAGCCTCTACAGCAGTGAGTCATGTGAAAGGGTGGGTGAGGCGTAAGAATAGATCACCATGGAGAGGACCAGTGACTTGGGCTGATCAGAAATGTTTGTTCTGTTCCAGCCACGCTGACAAAAGACCCAGGTCTTTTCTGTCGATGGGGGAGTGAAATTATCACTGCGAAGTCCTCATCAGGCACATTACACCCTGGGCTGGTGAAGATCCCTCAGACATTGCCCCCTGCGAGACGCGGACGTTAAAGCCTTGCAAATTTTCCAATTAGCCAGCGCAGTAGTTGGATGATTACAGATTAGATCAGATTTCGGTGACTAAATAAAACCAAGCAACCCTGAACATTTTAGTGTCCTTTAGAACACTTAGTCTTTTAAACCTTTAACAAATCCTGCAAATTGTTATTCAGCCAGGGAAGTCTCTTGACAGTTGGAGCTAATGCTTCTTAAACACAAGTCTGCCTGTCTTAATAATCAACTCTCCATTGCCAACCCACACTTGGTTTTATTTCACTTGTCTGTTAGATTTGCTAGAAATACTTCTTGGTTATTTTGACTGATTTAATTCATGCTCTCAGGCTCTAGTTGTGTAATACTTTTCAAGGATATAGAAATCTTCTAGACAGTGTTTTTCTGCTCAGCCCTTAAGTTGTACGTTAAAATCCAAAGTACCTGAGTGACATGATAGATTTAATGTGGTAGTAATTTTGTAATGAGCTCACTTTCCCTGGAAAAAAATCATTAATTGGAGCTGGCAATACCATAAGGAAGTAGGGGTATCTTAATAAAGAAGTTGCGTGTACCTGCAGTTCCCACCTTTTCTGAAATACTCAAATGCAGGAGGTTTTTTGGACGTGGATTTCTCTGTTTTGTGTACTTGCATGTGCAGAATAGTCCTGCAGATCAGGTAAAACTGCCACGGGGCTTCTGCTGTGGAACTGCTGGGTAACGCAGAAGTGGTTGTACTGAATCTGATCAAAGGTCCTGTAGCTCATCTGCTTGTGATGCCTAAGCAAACAGTGCACGAAGCACGATCATGGGGCAGCCCTTCTGTTGGGCATTTTCCTTTGGCTTCCAGAAAATATTATGTGGAGAAGATGCCTTCAGAGATGGTAGTTGAGAAGCGTGGCGGAGAATCTGCTGTTAAAATATACTGCCCTACAATGCTCAGCAAGCACAGAAGTGCAGATCCTGGTGCTGCTGATGCCTGTGGGGTGCTGTGCTGCTGGCCAGCATGCTCCTAGGGAGGCTGGCCAAAAGGTGGCTGTGTGGCTACAAGGTGGGCAGGTTACGTGAGCACCCTGTGCCTACGGCCACGCTTACACGTGCCACTCAAGTTGAATGTAGACATTGTCCATAGCTGTAAAAAAGATTCTCTTACTCCCCCTGTAAGAGTCTTGCAAGCCATGTCCCATCAGGACAGAGTTGATCTTATAGCCCTGCTGGTGTTTTCCCAGCACTTCAAGCTTCCCAAAAAGCCCCATGGACACACACCTCTGTTTTGGTGTTAACTTCCTCTGTGCTGTCTGGCTCGTGCCGGATGACCCGTGTTCACTGATGTCTTCTTGATTCTCCCCAGGACTCATCGAATAACCATAACAAACTTCTGTCTCGGAAAGCACCTCGTGAGTGAAGATGACCTGCTGAAAGACCAGCGAGGGAGCCCTGCCTACATCAGCCCAGACGTGCTTAGTGGTAGGCAATCCCCTTCAGCCCTCAGTGGGAGTTCACAGCCCCCACGCTTAACCCTTGTTTCATTTATTTGTGGCTCTTGACAATAAGTGACAACCACCTAGTTTTGTTCCCATATGTAACCTACCTTCTGAGAGCCTCTTAATTAGGGTCCAATTATGAGACTTAGTCTGTTTTTTCCACTTGGGAAAGTATGGAGGGAAGGAGCAAGTGTAACTTTTTTCTTAAGACTAGTCTGAACTTCAAAGCTAACTAAAAGCTCCCTGCCTGTTCCTAAGTAAGTCTGACTGCAGACGAGATCTTCAGTTTCCCACGTCTGAATCTTGTTCACTTAAGCTGTAGGTAAATCCCTAGGCCTAAGAGGCAATCGGTCCAAATCCCACCATAATGTCAGTTTATTCCAGGCCATACACTAAGAGGAGCAGTTGCTGCAGCTGCTGCTTGCTTCCAGAAGGGAACAGCTTTTAATCTGGGCAGCTTCTCTCAGTCAGAGAGAGGAGTTACTTAAAAATAAAGGAATGATCACACCAGGCCAGATTTGCAGTCTGTTCGGGCTGTGTCTTGTCTCCAGCAGAGGACTTAAGCAGAAGTCTCTGAAGAACAGCTTTGTTCTGCAGAGAACAAACAGGACACAAACAGTGTCTTCCCACCTTTTAACTGTTTCCAGTGCATGGGACTTTCAGAAACAGATGTGGTTTCTGTCTAGCTGCTTCAGGAAGCTTCTCCTCAATGAACTCTGCTACTATGCTAGCCTTTGTGCTGGCAGTAGCTGAGCAGGCAGTGATGGAGGCATCGCTTTGGGGGGGTTGAGGGGTTTTTTTTTTCTGTCATCCAGGTGAGCTTGACTAGAGTGGTGAAAGGTGCATTTACAGTTGGGACTCTGCATCTGAAGCATCTCTCCGTGCATTAGCTCATGTTGCAGAGTACTCCTTGTGAGCACAGATTATTAAAATTCCCTTTGGATGGAGCTGAGCTGCAGGGGTGGTCCAAGATCCCCCCTAATGCATCCCACCTGCCGAGGGCTGTCCATCTGCTGGGCTGGGCAGCATTAGGATGATGGGAAACTGCTTAAAACTGTGGACTGTGGGTCATCAGCACCAACTGTTTTCTGGACAGTTGGCAGTACGTTGGGCACCACCACTTGCTGGTGTGTGTATAGCCAGTGTGAAAGGCAGAGTCCTCACCAGTCTGTTGCATTTGTTTGTGAGGGTAATTTCTGGAATACTGAAAACACCTCTGCTGAAGATTGGAGCTACTCATTTATGGTATCCTGAGCTATTGTATTTCAGAAATGCCCTCAGAGGGAGCTAGTCTTGGTATGTCCAGACCCAGTGGACTCCCCTCAGTAAGTTTGTTGTCAAGTTTACATGCAGCAGCAATAAGTGTAGTTGAGTTCTTCCGTCGTGATCTGCCAGGCAGGTTTGAGACTGCTTCCCTTCTGGGCAGGACTAAGCCAGGAAGGGAACAGAGGCAGCCAGGGAGGTGGAACGTGTGTTTTTTGCAGGCCTTTCCTGTTCCGCAGGATATCCTGAGGCCCCTGTAATCAGATGGATGATAGGAGCCAATTGCTCTGTAGGAGCTTGGAGCAGTTGTAGCTCAAGTGGCTGGTGGCTAGTAAAGGCTGTGTGGAGCTGCTCCTTCCAGCTCGTCTGGGGAACTGTTCTGTCAGGAACTTCAGCCCTGTTACTCTCCCCGCCAGCACAGCTTGACTGCAAGCGCCCATGTTTCTTCTAACGGCTCTCTTGTTGGTGGGTTGACTGGGCCGTCTGTAGGTCACACCGTTGGCACTGAACTGGCTGTCTTTGCTGACTTCTCTGACAGCTGAGGCTGTTCAAGACCCTGCAAGGAGCAGCCTCAGGTACAGGACTGCATCCTGCTGTAGCACCACCTGGGCTGACCTTTGGGTGCCATTGCACTGCGCTCCGGCTCTGATGTCTCTGCAGTTAGCTCTTCCCCACAGGGCATCTATGCAGCCCCATCCTGTGCTCTTGAAAATGCTGTTCCAAAATGGCTCAGTCTGTAGTTCCCCTCCAAGCATCGAGGGAAAAGTTACTTGAGGACATTCCAGGCTTCACCACCACCTTCAGACTCTGAGCATCCCTCTGTCTGTATTGCTGATACTCCTGTGCAAGAGGAAGATAAAATGCCTGAAGAATTAATCATTGTTTTAGGTCTCCAGGAGAAGCTGTCTTCTTCTAAGACATGGCTTGCATCTTACGGCTGCTGAAATGTCACAGCAGGAAAAGCTGGAGGAGGAGGGAGAGGTGCCTTTTTTTGAGCATATAAAGCAAAGAATAATTAGTACAAATAACAAATGCTGCAGCAGTGACTCACTGCGTGAGTCAGAGGAAGTCATTCCCTCAGTCCTATGCTGTGGTACAGCACTGGAGTTTAATTTTTTGATCCTCATGCACGCTGCTGTTTGATTTATTGTGTAAGGGGCTTTAAAGCAGTGTTTCCATCGAGCAAATCCCAGGGCGTGCCGAGGCTGCAGCAGCTTTCAGGGAAGCACCTTCCCATGCCCTCCATGGCTTCACGGCAGGCTCCAGTGCTGTCTGCTGGCTCCATTCCGGAGGCAGAGTCCCACCTCGATGGGCTCAATCTGAGCCAGGTGTGGAGGGTCTTAGTCTGCACTTCCATGCAAATCTCTGGTGCAGCCAGTGGTGAGGTTGGGGTTAGTCTTGGACCACTCTTTGCCTGAGGAGCACTTACTCTTCTCAGTGTTTCTTTCCTGCCTCCCCGTGCTCACTGGCCCTTAAGTTCTCTTCTTCTTTGACCCGGACTCGCAGCGAGGTGCATCTGTGGAGCCTGCGAGGCTCAGGGGCTGCCAGCGGCAAGTCTGCAGGGATGGCGAAGGGGAGAGTAGTGAGCTCCAGCACAGGAGCAGTAGTTCCGATTACACGATGCTTTTGGGTCACCTCAGGGCCATTCAGCAGGGA